AACCCTCAAGGGCTATCTTCAATGTTAGCTCCATCTTCTTCCTCTTGCTTTGCTCTCCAAAAACCCTAATCTAGAGAAAGAAATTATCTAAGAACTATACTAATTATCTAGAATGGAAAAATAAAACTTGGAACCCTTTACAATTGATTCAATTTCATTTAAATACTAGCTCCCTTAAGTGGTCTCCAAGTTATAAATTGCATTCTAATTGGTCTAATCCCCAACCAAAAGTTATGTGGAATTCGGGCGTGTTCGGGAATTAAACAGCTTACTGCTAGTAGGGTTTCGATCGATCGAAAGGGTCTTCGATGGATCGCGAGTCACTACAATCGATCGAAAATGATATGGCAAGAAAATATCTTCTATTGGCCTTATCTTTTGCTGAGCTAGCATGCTGATATGTCTTCGATGGATCGACAACCTTTGATCAATCAAGATTACTCCAGTGCATTTTTTCTAACCTTTTTTTAAAAAAAAAATTTCTTCTTGACTCCAAAAAGGGGGTAATAAGCTCTTTTTAGCCTATTTGAACTTTATTGACCTGAAATAGACAAAAACAAGAATTAGAACTAAGACGGGAGAGTAAGATAGATGAATGATTAAAATATCCAAGTTTAGGTGCTAAAATGCGCAATATTTAAGCACTTATCACCCAATTTTTGTGCCATGTCGAACCTTGGAGTTCAATTTCGTCCTTCTCGATATGACTGGCTTTGATGCCATTCTCAGGATAGGTTTGTTGTCATTCGTTCGATTGCTTCTGTAGGAGGGTGTTTGTTTGCGCTCCCAAGGTAGATTGCTTTCATTCCGTGGGGGATCAGAGTGATTCTCACCCAACATTAGTTTCCAGCATCGGTGACTGAAGTCACCACAAGTCTTACTTGGCTAGTCAGTTGGCCGAGTAAGACAGGGGTTTGGGTCGTGTTTCTTTCAACAGTTGTTGAAGAGTTTGTTGATGTCTTCCCAGAGGAGTAAACAGGGTTGTCTCCTATACGGGAAGTTATTTTTGCAATTGATGTCATTTTTGGTACAGCGTACATCTTGATGGCGTCGTACCGCATGGCATCGGTAGAGTTGGATGAGCTGAAATGTCAGCTGAATAATTTAAAAGCCAAGGGCTTTATTCGTCCTAGTGCTTCACCATGGGGAACACCGGTTCTTTTACGAAGAAGGATGGGTCTCGGGGGTGAAAGTTCCTTAGACATATTGTGTAAGGGAGGGGTGTTAGAGTTGATCCATCCAAGATTGAATATGTAATGGATTGGGAACGTCCGAAGACAGTGTTCGAGATTCAGAGTTTCCTTGGCTTAACCTGTTACGACTGGAGGTTTGTTAGGGATTTATCTCGTCTAGCAACACCTATGACTCGACTTACTCACAAAGGGGTCAAGTTCATATGGACTAAGGTATGTGAGTTCGCATTTCAGGAGTTGAAGGTCAGGTTGACATCAGCTCCAATTTGAATCATGCCTGAGCATGGTTTGGGTTAAGTGGTCTTCTGTGATGCCTTATAAGAAGGACTGGGTTGTGTTCTGATGCAGACAGAGTGGGTGGTGGACTTATGCTTTGAGGAGTTGGTTCTTCATGATGGGGATTTTGATTTAGCATTTTGGTTCCTATACGTCACCTTATGTTAGGTCTATTTCAGTAGGTTTTCGGCGTAATGTCTTACAGTGTGGGTCATTACGACTTGGGAGGTGTTGACGTTTCCTGATTTTGTGGAACCTGATCCATTGAAATGGTTGGTGTTACTTGTATTGAGGATTAGAGGCCTTAAGCGTGATAGTGCCTATGACGTTATTGTCAGAGTTTTGGGATTAGTTACCCCAACTCTCACAGGATGTCTGGTTACAGCTATGCTTTTGGCAATAACTGTTTTGTGACATTGATGTCATTTGTATCGAGAAGTTTTTCGGGTAGACCTAGTGGAGGAATGTTATGAATTAGTGCTTTATACTGTCATGCAAATGTACAAAATTGTGTGTTGTGGGTGAGTGTCAGTTGCCGTCAATGCTACCTTACTGACGAGTAAGTGTGGGCGGGTACTAGGCGCTATCGATGCTACCACACATTTAAGTATGTTGTGGGCGGGTTCTGGTCACTGTTCATACTTCTAGGTCATTTTTTAGTTAAGTACCTTATTCCAAAGTATATCCACTTTGTTTGATTTCACATTTTATTTCAAGTTGATGACATTAAATCTTGCAACTTCTTGTTTCATTTATTTGATTTTGTATTTTGATTCAAGTTGATAACATTATGAAGTTGTAACTAGTTGTTGTATACTCAATTTTTCATTATTGCTTAATTGTATTATTTGGTGATTTATGCTAGAAATGTTTTGAGGTAGCGTAGGATGATCACATAGTTGTACCTTGAACATAGACATTAGGTGGCATAAACCACATGGATCGGTTTATACTAAACTTGCAAAACCATGAAAACTTTAGGTTATACGCATGTTCATTTCCTACGAATAACTTATTCACTCACCCTAGTTACTTAAGATATTTTCAGGTAAAGAAACTTTGTTTTGGGATGCACAACATCCCTAGGACGGCTTGATGTGTTGAAGTACTTTTGATGCGTTTTTGTATACATGCGCATGTTAGCTTGTTTGTTTTACTTTTGAAGTTGTAACGCTTAATTAGGTTTTGGCATTCCACTTTACTTTGGAATATGTAAAGCGTGCCTAAGCACATTATTTGGGACTCTTTTTATATGTATGACGTGTGGCTAAGGGCCAAATAACCTTTTTATTGCATCTATGCTCGTTGGTTTCGAGTTTTACTTTTAAATGACATTTTTACACTTTGAGGTTTGACATTTCATATTTTGCATTTGGCGTATTTTGAGACCAACTGCCATTGTAACGCCCTTAAAAACACATATTACGTTTGCGTGCATGTTCATAATTGCACACAATACCATACTTGATGAAATGATCACTTGGAGTAGCATACATTTTCATATTTTTTGCAAAATCTGATCTTAAGGGCATTTTGGGTATTTTACTTGAAAAATAAGTTTCGGCCTTGACATGGTCACTTAGAAAATGTGATTTTGGGGGGGTCACTTCACAATTTTTTTTTCCAAAAAATGTCATTTAAGCCCTCAAAATCCCATTTAAATCTAAAAAAATCTGGTGCAAGCCTCTTTTTCTTCACTTGGCAACTTCTTAACCAGATCTTGAGACTATCATAACTTCTTCGTCCGGACTCCAAATCAAGTGATTTTTGAGTCTAAGTTTATTAATTTTTTGTTGTCCATCCAATGGTATGCATGGTAGCATCCATTTCAGTTTGAAATGATAATTATACCCTCGGTCCATTTCTTGGAGGGTTTTGGAACCCTAACTTCCATTTTGTTTCCGTTGAGTCTCGGGACTCCTCGAGAAGCTACTTTGGAGTCTTAGAGGTGATGTACATCTCTAGATACTTATTTCTTTTTTTCGCTTCCGCATTTCAGATCCGGTATCGAATCAACATTTGGGTATCACAGACACACCTGGTTTGTAAAACCAGGACCGTCAAATAGTTAGTTAATAGGGACACGAGAGGTACCCGTGAGTGATTATATGACCTCGGGCCCCAAATGGTAGTTCGAAGGTACCCTTTACTAAGGATGACTAGCAAATCCTCCCTAGGGACTGCGGGAGTCACCCAAAGTCCGGCTAATTAGTACATTTTCGGTATGTGTTGAGTTGGTTGAGTATGTGGGTGATAGACAATTCCATGGCTCATTTCGTGCATTACAATGCATTATTTTGACATTAATGCTATTGATGAGTTAAATGCAATATATGAGATCTTGTGTATGTTCCTGCCCTCATTCATCTATTCTTTGCGTGTAAGACATGAGATTAACTACTTTGTTTGAGGAAATGCCACTTAGGCAATCTCTACCGGGCCTTGTGCTCATTCCTCTACCATTATTTAGGTCACGGAAAGGAGGTGGTGGATGACATTCCCTCACAAGCTTAGGCGAGATTAGAGGAACTATTTGATTTTTTTGCAATCAATGTACTTGTATTCAATTTGAGGATTTCATTTTGCTACATGTTGTATATGACCGCTATATGTTTTCATTTTGCGGACAGAAATAGTTTTGAGACCATTTTTGTATCTTTTGTGGTCTCACTAGGATTTCTAGTTCCATGTATGGTTGTTTGGTCATGTTAAGTTGTAACTGGATTTATTTTGACCACTTATAATGTATCAAGCTTGTTTAATGTTTATATAAATGCATGGAAGTTATTTGTGATTGTATTTGATTGAATGCATGTTTTCGGGATAGGTTTAGACCATATTTAAAGTCACAAATGGACCACCGCCATTGCCAACAACCCCTCAATGATTCTCTCTCCAGCCACCATTGCTAAAGAATATAAATATATATATGTATATTTTTATATAAGTAATAAAATTTGATTGATGTTGCCTTCTTCAAAGACCCAATTGTATCTTATGTATATAATGTATGCAAACATTCAATTAATTGCATCAGATTGATATCCAACATATTATATTTATATCCAACATACTACATATATGTATAAGTTATTGAAATAATATGTTGGATATCAATCTGATGTTCCTTTGTAGAAGTAATTGAATCAGTCTCACTTACAATATAGTTGCACCTTCTAATTTAAATGGACACACACCCACAACCACCGGAGCGGTGGTAGTTGGCGCACTTGTGGACCTGCTTCTCCCATTGGGATCCTATGTAAAAGGAGGTGAAGTAGCGGAAATTGAAATCGACGAAGCTATGAATCGATCGGCAGCGCCGGTGACAAGAATGGGCAATCCGACGAATATAAGAGGAATTTTGAGGGAGTGTACTTACCTTATCTCTATTAATGGTGTAATTGTTTTTCCAAAAGAGAGTTGATGAGAGAGAAAGGGTAGGTGAAGAGAGAGGAAGGACAATTTGGTAATCAAGACATACCTTTATAAAATTCCATCATATTAAAAAATTTGACTTTAACTCCATCATTTTAGCCTAAGGCATCATAATTCTATTTTTATTAGGAATTATCCCTTTGTTAAACATTGCAAAAATTAAGGTAATCAAATACTTTATTTAGAGCAATTAATGTATCCTGCTCGAATATCACTTGCTAATACTAATACAAAATCTATCACCAACAGGCAATAGTGGAACGTTAAAGTGGGTAATAAGCCAACCATCTATCCATCATCACGTAACACTCCTCAGGTTTGTACTCCGGAGCAATGTGACCAGCACCCTGTAATTCGAAGGCCAAAAAATATATATAAGAAAAACATATAAAACTTAATACCAAGGTACCATTAGTTATTGTGTAGGTATGTAGCATAGAGAGAGAGAAAGTGATCTTGCCTTTACAGTTGCATATGTCAAACTGAAATCACCACTTGAATACTTCTTTGTGTATCTGAACCATGAAGCAAATAATAATTCTTATTTTTTTATTTATAAATAACAAATAATTATTATTTTTTAAGTAAAAACCATGAGATTCCGAAGATGACGAAAAGGGCCGGGGACAGATCAGAATAGATTGTAATTAAGAGATAATTGCTCGTGAGAAATAATTAATTTGCAACCCACCCAGCAGTTTGACCGTTGTTAGACCATGATCGCCAACTTTGTTCCAAAGTTATATTTAGAGAGGCTATCCATTCTTGTGTTGCAATGCTTGGAATGGACAGGTCATGATCCCCGCTGAATATATAGAGAGAAAATTATTATACGACAAATTATATAACAGTGAAGCCATGAGGTTCAAATGGTAATTTCTTAAGACTTAATTAAAACATGCAAATGGTGTCCGCTACAAATCAAAGCAATTGTGGAATCACTAGTTTAGCACAGTTATTATTTTTGAAGAGTGGTAAAATAACATATATTTATTTTACGATATTTATGCTTAAATTAAAACAATATAATTGCATGTATGTCACCTGAATATTAGAGCTCGTAAGCCGGTAGAAGTAAGATTCCGGTGATATTCAATAGTACTTGTGACGTCATTAGTGTATTCTATGCTGCTGTTGCATTTCGTCCAAAATTCTACTGTTCCCTGTTATCATCACAATCTTTTGCAGTAAAAACTGTTTTTACGCTAATAAAGTAACACTTACCAACCAAATCTACTTACATTTCGAACGTTAAGAGCTTCTTGAACTGCTATCTCATTTGCCCAGACTCCAAGGGGAATATAAGTATAATCCTAGAAGTAGGCGATTAGTTTTATACACTCGATTCTCTCGTTTAAGAAGAAATTAATATACATCTATATATGTATATATAAATACATAAAGAGAGAGATTTATTTACCCGACACCAATTTGCAGAACTTCTAGGCTGTGAAAGGATGACATTTTTGGATTCCTCTCTGAGAAATCTTCGATTCCCTTTGGTTTTTCTAGATTCTAAGGATATAGCGGAACAAGAAGGTTCCAAAATTTGCAGCAAATTGATTTCACTGAGCAGCTGCATATGCAATTATATAATCAATATATACTCCATGCCTATAACACATAAATGTATGACAAGTAGTCTAGTGAAACCCAATTCTGTAAATCCTAGTCTGTTTGACCTCTTCAATAATAGCCAAATCTGACAAACAATCTTCACTGCTTGAATCAGTGTTCACATAGTCTCCATTGCAACTTTCTTTGGTGGCCTTCATATATAAGCATAGAAAAAAAATACAATAAATAAACATTTATAATTTAGTGTCATATGGATGGAAGGAAAATATTGGAAGGAAAAAGAGCCAATGAAATTAGGCATTGAAATACCTCATAAATTTCTTTACTTATGAGTGACATCCCATAAGCATATGGGATTCTTTCATTATTGTCAATAAACGAGTCAGTCTTGGGGTTCACAAGCACGTACCCCTGTTAACAAGTCAATGAAAATCATAAATCACCATAGAATTGTTAGAAATTGATTTGGTTTCCATTTGCTCCTCTTCTTTTGCAGCGAACAGAGCATATATAAGACACTGCATTTGGAGTTGGGAATAAAATCAAGGATGTACTACAACGTTAGAACAAGTACCCTGATATTCATGGATGGATAATGCCCAGCTTTTATACCTGCAGAATCCAAGTCTTAATGAGCCATTTGCAACAAACAGCAAATTAATTAATTTAAAAAATAAATAAATAAACCACTTCTGAATGAATGAATATATATGCTTAGATTAAATTTCAGTAAGAAGTTACCGTCAGATATCTCTTGAACAAGCATAGGTACAGTTACGCCGGAATACGACTCACCACCAATGTAGATATTGTTTGATGCGAAATCAGTGTGATCCAACAACCACTGAACATATTATAATTTGTCAAGTAGAAAAAAATTATATTATTTTGTAGAACTTATACTTACGTTGCAATATGATAAATTTCAACTTCAACTTCAACTTGAAATAATAAAAATGTTTCATGAAATGCGTGCATTTGACAAACATTAATATGTATTGCAAAGCCCCTATATGGATTTTGATTCAGTTTAAATAGTATCATATATTTGATTCAGTTTGTGTTAGTCAAATAAAAAAAATAAAAAAAAAACAAAAAAATAAAAATAAAAAACATTTTTCCCCCATTTTTTTACTGATTAAAACACACCTTGCCTAAAAATTGATATAGGTGTGCTACTGTTTTACTGTCGTTGCTGATATAACCTTCAGCAGTAGTTGAATAAGAGAATCCAGTGCCAACAGGGGCATCAATGTATATCATATTGAGGGCCTGAAAGTTTACAGCAAGAAAAAAGTCAACTGATAAGAAGCTTCGATCTCACATGCGCATGCAGTTAATTAATTGACTACATATATATAAACATTGCAGCTAGAGTATGAAATTTAGTACCTGGGTCCACGCGTAGTCGTTCAAGGATAGCGTTGGTGCACTTCCATTGTAATTTTCGTAGTTGAAATTTAATGGACCTAAACAGACGAGAAAAGACATCAATACCAACCCCTTATGGTTCTATTGATAATTGGCCATATCAATAGAACCATATCCAGTCCCCATTATTGTTGAAACCAGTCTAATGGGGAGCCAAAGTGCTCCCCATTCACATCGGTTCCACGCCAACCACCATGTGGGTGGGGAGCATTTGAGCTCCCCATTCCGCCAGTTAAGCATTTTTTCATTGATTATGCTAATATCTCCACTTAGTTTGACCAATGGAATAATTAATAAGACAGACTATGGAGAGAGTTCTCAACAAGAGTCTTGAGCTATTTTTATGAGAGGCTGTCATGACTCATGACTCTTTTCTAAATTGTGTATTAATTAAATAGAAAAATAATATTTGGCATTAAAAAAAAAAAAAAAAAAAAGCTCAAAATAATCCACACTATATTCACATCGTATCGTGTGAAGGGGAGAGCATTCGCTGGAATAGGAATGATTATTTGAGTTACATTCTGACTTTATAACTTAATATGAGTAAATGCTTGAATGGAAATAATCATTGTATTCTTATTCTTCAGTTCTTATTTTTCATTTTTTTTTTTCTTCTATATTCTATTCATGCTTACCAAACATAGCTAAGAGTGCAAAAGGCCTATTGCGTTGCCAAATAAGAAAAAGAAATTAGACTCACCGCTCTCGTAAAATAATGCTGCGAGACCAGAACAACCAGGACCTCCGGTCAGCCACATCATAAGAGGGTCTTGTGCAGGGGACCTCTGAGACTGCACAAAATAGTAAAATAGCTGCACATCGTCCAGCTCACCCACACTGATGTATCTACGTGTATATGTATACAAATTTAAGCCAGCCCCAGTCAGTTAACAACACTAGCAATATATTTATATATACATACATACACCATTTTTGTGTCATGATTATAGATAAGCTCACCCAGTTTCAAGTGTAAAGGGGAGATCACCGCTAAAACCCGGTAGACTGGTGACAATGGTGTGCGATGCGGCAATGCCAGAGAACAGCAATTGGAAAAATAAATGCAAGCACACCCAAGTGCAAGTGGTGCGGGGACCTTTCGAATAATAATCGAACCAATTCGATTTACTTAGCCTATGGGTAGTTGCTTTCAGTGCCATAGCTCTCTCTAAATTGGGGTAAGGTCTGGTTACGATTGACGATCGATTCTCCTCCTCCCCCTCACCTTTGTGCTTTATATATATATATATATATATAGCCAAATGTGTGATTACAAAAAGGAAAACAGCATTCTTGGGAGGAAATTAGAGTTGTAGTAACAATATATACTAATATATTTGATATATTTACGGCCCAGTACCTAATTGTCGCATAAGAATAGTAGCTCCTCCAATGTCAGTTAATTTTCCTTGTCCTTTTAATTTTGGTTCGGTTCGGATGGAAAGACAGAGAGCTAGCGAGGGAAATAATAGGTACACCAGAAAGTCCAATTTGTTGCAAGTAACCGATGGTCACAAACATCCCCCACCAAACGGCTAAGCTAAACTATAAGTTGCACCTACATTTATGCGCGGGCCGCGTGGCCTCACTCCCTCTGACGACATCTGATTTGGATAGCTTTGAATGGGGCACGTTGAAGATCTGTCGTAATTGGAGTTCAAACATTGAGATGTATGGATTCTCGTCCCCCATTCCCGGTCAAGGGCATTAAGCAGAAAGGAAATTAATTAGTTAATTATCTTACCGAAAAAAGAAATTATTTAATAGATCATTGTGAATAAACATATTTTGGGTTGCAATATCACACAAACGTCACACCAAAAAAAGAGTCATTTTGGAGAACTGTGCAGTTTTCTAAAAGGGATAATTTTTGGGGGGAGTATTTCTTATTACTTTCTTCGTCTTGATATAAGTGTCATACTTTTCTTTTTTATTCCAAAATAATAATTCACTTTCCTTTTTCAAATAATATATTTCACATATTTTCATATATGTCATTTGAGTTTAAAATTTCAAATTTGAATATTCAAAATTTAAAAGGGCAAGTTAGTAATTTTTTAGGCAGATAATACATGTCCCACATGTCCCCCTAAAAATTACTACTCATCATAAGCGACACTTAAATTGGGACGTCGGCTTAAGTTGATTTCCTTTTTATTTTATTTTTAAAAAACAAAATCTCTTATTTTATGTCACTGTCGGAAGAAACAAACAGACAGTGACCAGATGACCACAAGGAAAAAAATACAGTATTTCTTGTTTACCATTTACAAGATATCGGGAAAAGAAAAAAAAAATTTAATTCAAAATTTCAAAAAATAAGAGAGATCAAGTACAGAATAGCTAATGTATGAAGTCCCCAACTATCATAATTATTTCTTGCCATAGCTAAAAGTATATAGACTTAGTTCACTAATCACTATGAAGTTGAAAAGAATATATATATATATATATATATATATATATATATATATATATATATATAAGTTATATAATGGTTCGGCTCGGACCGGGCCGGTCCAGGACGACCCCAAACCAGGACCAAACCAGTCCAATCCGGTTTTTCGGTTTACTAGATTTTTTGAACACCCCTAACTAGCATACCTCTTTAGACAACTATCTTGAAAAGTGATTGTGACAAATCACTTGATAAAAATATTTTTTTACAAAATATTTGAAGCACAAATTGTTAGCACTAATCTCTTGTAGAGATAGTCAAGGTCTCTCGGGCATCTTGTGTGCATACTATTTTGGATAATATCTCTATAAGAGAAGAGCCCAAGCGAGATGCTCACACCAATCATTCCAATGTAGAGAATAGAGTGGATAATATATGTGATGGCCAGTGTCATTTTCCATTTTTATGGCATTTTTTAGATTTTGTGTGTTTCCTTTTTCTATGTATGGGGATGCATGTTTTTAGGATTCATTTTGACTGTTTCTTCAAATTTAGAATTTTTAAAAATGTATTTTGAACCCTTTCTACTCATTTTTGGTTTTTGAGCACAGGGTCGAGCTTTGTGCTCAGGAATTTTCCCGAATTCATTTATTTTATGTTATTTTATATTGGGTCATTTTATTTTACTTTGGTGTAGCATTATTTGTCGGTGTACATGTGTGTAGAGAATTAAGGGATATAGTTGACATTTGATTCATTTTGGTGGAGAGTGGGGCCCTCGTGTGTGGACTTGGTATATAAGTGTTGGTAATTTTTGTACCGCTTAATCTATATAACTTGAGATTTTGCAAGAGTGGTAGAAGGAAAGTTAATAGAGCTCGTTATATCTACATCGATTTTGTTTTTGGATTGGAACATTTCATTTTGGGCTATGTAGGTACATACAATCTCGGACCGAATGCTGAGGTTCAATCTAAGAATTTCAATGTTCAAACACTTAAAAAAAAAAAAAACAATGGAAATTTGCTAAATACTTAAAAATATTCAGAAGAAGGAAGAATAATTATATTGTTGAGAACAACTTGTCTTTTGTCGGGGTCTTTTGTCCATATTTATATTGTGTATAGATATTTTTATAGAACCTTTTTAGGACCTTCCTTTCTGAAAACTCAATGAATTCCCTGATTCTTTGCAATTTGTTGTTCGGGTGTTATTTATAGCCATGTTGGTAAAGATTTTGTATTGGGATTTTTGGGCTGCAAGTTACTTTTGGGCTTCTTTGGCATATGGGGCTATCCTTGGACTCTCGGGCTGGTCTCTTGGTTTGGGCCCTTATCTTTTGGCTTTGTTCTTTGGGCTAGCTTCTTTGCATAGTTGCGTACACATGGAGCATTGTGATTGGTGGGAAAATTTTCCTCCACACTTCAACCAAAATTTTCTTTAGTTTGATGCGATGACCATAACTAAAAGGAATTAATTGTAACTGATGCTTTAAATTGTATGGATTAATTGTAGTGAACTAATCACTTGAAATTATGCGACAATATGCTTTGATAACAACAATTCATATAAATTCTTTTGGCATTTATTAGAGACCCAAAGCTAAGGTATTTAAGAAGGTTGTTAGTACAACTTCTGTAGTCATTGAGTTGCCCCCTTGTGCTGAGGTGGTGCCTTACGTTGAGCCTTTATTCTATTCAGGTTGTTGGTGTTAAGTCTTCATGATCTTCTTAGACTAATAGTGATCGACCTTGATGATTAACTTAGGTGACCAACCTTGATGAATAATGAGGGTGAGTAACCTTGATAACCAACTTTAGTTATCAACATGGTGATTTTATTAGGTGATCGCCTTTAGTGATCAGTTTCGGATGATCATCCTTCGTGATTAGCTTCGGATGATTAGCCTTTGTGATTAGCTTTAGTGATCGGCATTCATGATTAGCTTTAGTAATCGACTTTGGATAATCACTTCGGATGATCAGCCTTCAGGATTAGCTTCAGATGATCAGCCTTCGTGTAATGTCCTGGATTTTTTTGGATTTTTTTTTTTTTTGAATTTTTATTTTATTATTTTTTCGTGCACCGTTTTGCTTGCCATGCTGGTCCCGAGGGCCGTTTAAGTCATTTTCTTGAGCCAAGATTCTTGGTAATGTATTTCTAATTGTTTTAAGTCAATCAGAGGTGATGGGATTAATTTTAGAAATGTTGGGGTCGGGGCCGACTTTGTGTTCGAGAATCTTTTTCCAGTTTTTCATTAATGTTATTATTGAAATTGGCATGCTACATATTTATGTATATGTATATTTATATATATATGATGATATTTTGGGGATAAAAGGGTACACATAAGTCACATAGGAGGGCACGCATTTAAAGGTTTTTAACTAGAAAGGTGAGGGCCACCATTTAACATGTGGGTGCATGAGGGCCACACCCTCATTTTGATGAATTGCCATCTTTGAGGGCCTTAAGGTAAGGATTTGGTTTAGCTCAAGAAGACAAGTTTACTCCATTCTTCAAGCGCTTTCATTTGATACCAGTGTTGAAGCCATTTGGGGGATTTTGAAAAGTGATATAGCTAGGGCTTGTTTAGTTATCTTCCTTGAGGTACGGGTGTTTAATTCATTATGTTTTTGCCCCATCTTAAGTTCATTATGTGTATTGAATGCTATGTATGATTTATTTGAAAAATTTTGCCTTAAAATTGCTTGTCCATGTTTCTATGTGATGAAGTTATGATAAGGTGTGATGTATGTATGCCAAGTTGCAAGGTTGATTAGTTAATACGTCATACATGTGTAAATTGTTATCTTTGAAACAATCGTGTTTCTATAATCATTACGAGTAGATGGAAAGTATGATTTAATGGGAATGCCAAGCATGCTAATGTTAATTAAAGATAATGCATCCTTAGACTTATTAATGCCATCCATGGTTGAATGCTTATACAAATGTTGATGAAGCTTTAACATGATGATTTAATTCACAATGACGCATGTCACTCATAGCATGGGCATAATAGAAAGGTTGAGTTGGGTTTCCATCAGTGGTTATGAAAGGGTTTTTAGAAAGGAACTAGATTTCGCGAGTCCGGTGCTAATTTGACCTAAAAAGAGCACGTGTCAGATTTGAACATGTAATATTGCATTAACTAGGCCCCAAATTGTTATCATATTTGAAGCCAGGGATGGTTAAGCAATCTAGCCTCGATAAAGTCAATTAGTAATTTACGATGTGAGTTGTGTCGGCTTAGGACAGCAGTTGGGACGGCGTTGCATCTCATGGCATTGTGCATGTTTTTAGATTGCTAAATTATGAAATGAATGCTACTATCGTTATGTATGTTGTCTTCCTTGAGGTACGGGTGTTTAATTCATTATGTTTTTGCCCCATCTTAAGTTCATTATGTGTATTGAATGCTATGTATGATTTATTTGAAAAATTTTGCCTTAAAATTGCTTGTCCATGTTTCTATGTGATGAAGTTATGATAAGGTGTGATGTATGTATGCCAAGTTGCAAGGTTGATTAGTTAATACGTCATACATGTGTAAATTGTTATCTTTGAAACAATCGTGTTTCTATAATCATTACGAGTAGATGGAAAGTATGATTTAATGGGAATGCCAAGCATGCTAATGTTAATTAAAGATAATGCATCCTTAGACTTATTAATGCCATCCATGGTTGAATGCTTATACAAATGTTGATGAAGCTTTAACATGATGATTTAATTCACAATGACGCATGTCACTCATAGCATGGGCATAATAGAAAGGTTGAGTTGGGTTTCCATCAGTGGTTATGAAAGGGTTTTTAGAAAGGAACTAGATTTCGCGAGTCCGGTGCTAATTTGACCTAAAAAGAGCACGTGTCAGATTTGAACATGTAATATTGCATTAACTAGGC